TATTCATGCTAGAATTGTATTTACCGGAAACATAATACATGTGTGAATACATAGACAAACAAAGTGTCACTAGTATGCCTCTACTTGACTAGCTCATTAATCAAAGATGGTTATGTTTCCTAACCATGAACAATGAGTTGTTATTTGATTAACGAGGTCACATCATTAGTAGAATGATCTGATTGACATGACCCATTCCATTAGCTTAGCACCCGATCGTTTAGTATGTTGCTATTGCTTTCTTCATGACTTATACATGTTCCTATGACTATGAGATTATGCAACTCCCGTTTACCGGAGGAACACTTTGGGTACTACCAAACGTCACAACGTAACTGGGTGATTATAAAGGAGTACTACAGGTGTCTCCAATGGTCGATGTTGGGTTGGCCTATTTCAAGATTAGGATTTGTCACTCCGATTGTCGGAGAGGTATCTCTGGGCCCTCTCGGTAATACACATCACATAAGCCTTGCAAGCATTACAACTAATATGTTAGTTGTGAGATGATGTATTACGGAACGAGTAAAGAGACTTGCCGGTAACGAGATTGAACTAGGTATTGGATACCGACGATCGAATCTCGGGCAAGTAACATACCGATGACAAAGGGAACAACGTATGTTGTTATGCGGTCTGACCGATAAAGATCTTCGTAGAATATGTAGGAGCCAATATGGGCATCCAGGTCCCGCTATTGGTTATTGACCAGAGACGTGTCTCGGTCATGTCTACATTGTTCTCGAACCCGTAGGGTCCGCACGCTTAAAGTTACGATGACAGTTATATTATGAGTTTATGCATTTTGATGTACCGAAGGTTGTTCGGAGTCCCGGATGTGATCACGGACATGACGAGGAGTCTCGAAATGGTCGAGACATAAAGATTGATATATTGGAAGCCTATGTTTGGACATCGGAAGTGTTCCGGGTGAAATCGGGATTTTACCGGGTTACCGGGAGGTTACCGGAACCCCCCGGGAGCCATATGGGCCATCATGGGCCTTAGTGGAAAGGAGAAAGGGGCAGCCCAAGGGGGCTGCGCGCCTCCCCCCTTCCCCTTGTCCTATTAGGACTAGGAGAGGTGGCCGGCCACCCCTCTCCCTCTTTCCCCCTTGGGAATCCTAGTTGGAATAGGATTGGGGGGGGGGAGTCCTACTCCCGGTAGGAGTAGGACTCCTCCTGCGCCTCTCTCTCTTGGCCGGCGCCCCCTCCCCCCTTGGCTCCTTTATATACTGAGGTAGAGGCACCCCAAAGACACACAAGTTGACACAAGTTGATCCACGTGATCTATTCCTTAGCCGTGTGCGGTGCCCCCTGCCACCATATTCCTCGATAATACTGTAGCGGAGTTTAGGCGAAGCCCTGCTGCTGTAGTTCATCAAGATCGTCACCACGCCGTCGTGCTGACGAAACTCTTCCCCGACACTTTGCTGGATCGGAGTCCGGGGATTGTCATCGAGCTGAACGTGTGCTCGAACTCGGAGGTGCCGTAGTTTCGGTGCTTGATCGGTTGGATCGAGAAGACGTACGACTACTTCCTCTACGTCGTGTCATCGCTTCCGCAGTCGGTCTGCGTTGGGTACGTAGACAATACTCTCCCCTCGTTGCTATGCATCACATGATCTTGCGTGTGCGTAGGAAAATTTTTGAAATTACTACGAAACCCAACAGGTTGTACCGCTCCTGGAGCGTCCTGGGGTTCCAGTTTTAGCTGGCAGAAGTATCAGGTTATGGGGGAGCGGTTGTACCGCCTCGGGGGCCGGTTGTACCGCTGGTGTCGGGAAAAATTCTCAGATCTGGATCGGGGATGAACTTGGGGCGCAAATGGATGATCTTGGGGGCAAAATTTGATGGATTTCGTGGATGGAAGGTGGGGAAACTTGGGGAGATGCTAGATCCACTTGAAACCAAGCAAATCCATGGATCAAAATCAACAAAACATCATCAAACCAACAAATCACAAAAAAATTTGGGGCTATTTTTGGTGGGGATTTTCAAAATTGGAAAAGAACACAACAAAATTAGGCTAGAAAACAACGAGGGGAGGCTCCGAAATCGTGATCAACGTGGCTCTAGGTACCAAGATGATGGTATCAAGAGACAAGCTGGCTCTAATCCAAGATGATGTAGGGTAGAACCCTAGTGGCCCGATCTTTCATGATAGGAGCGGAATCCCTCGAAGAACACGAAGAACACGAGGTGGAAAGAGAGGAAAAACACAAGGGGAACACAAGAGAAACACTAGAGCAACAAGAATAAGTCACACATGTGCTAGATCCTCGAATACATAAGAGAAGATACACGATCCACGGACAACTAAGGACGATACAAGGGTAGCCGGTCTTCTCCGTGAGGAGGTCTTGAATCCACGGGGGGATCTTCCCTTAGAAAGGGGGCTTGAATCCAAAGGGATCTTCTCCGAAGAGGCCGCGGTCTCTCGCACGGAGGAGATCCGATATGGATGAGCGTAGCTCTATCTCTCAAATGAGCTAAACCAACGCTAACCCTAGTACGGAGGTAAGGGACAAGTATATATAGTCCAAGGGGTAAGTTGGGGGATACATGGGGTGAAACCCCTTTCACTACGCACAGGCAGGGCGGTAGTACCGGTCATGGGGGCGGTTGTACCGCTGGATGCTCAGGTACGGGTTCCTGGTGGTGCTTCCGGATGTGCTCAGCGGTTGTACCGGTGCTTGGGGCGGTTGTACCGGTCAGGTGGCTGTTACGGGGATAAACCGGTGCTGCACCGGCCTTGCACCGCTCGATCACAGAAGCTTGGCCGGTTGTTGGGCGGTGGTCGAGCGGTTGCACCGCTTGTGGGCCTTTAGCGGTAGTACCGCTTGGTGTGGGCGGTAGCACCGCTCGGGCTGTAGCAGCTGGCTCTCCTTCCCTTGCTCCCGCGCACACTTGGCCTTGGTCCTTAGGCTCTCCATGGTCTCCTCGGATGGACCTGAGTATGCATAAGGTCCGCGCTTGAGGTAGCATCCATGGCTTACATGCGGAAAGGGAAGATTTGGAAAGGAGCGAATTCACCTTGTGTCCAATGGCGTATGCTTGAGGTCTCAACATGTGGGCACTAGGGGCTTGGGGAGAAGTCGTAGTGTACATGGGGATGATCATAGGATGCTCCGCATCACATCCTCTCGGACTCGACGGCGGTGGCATCTGGCGTCATCACCTTCTTGAGGGCGTCGTTGTGGAGCCTCGATCTCCCTCAGTTGCAGATGGCCTGCAGTGTCAGGTTTGCCTCTCCCTGGCGTATCGCGTCCTCAACTCTGGCGAAGTGGTGGTTTGGTGTTCTCCTATCTTATAGGCATGTCCTCATGTTCTTCGTTCTCGGTCCTTGTTGTCTCTTGGCAGGAGCGGCACTCCACGGCCCGGAGCGAGGGGACGGCCTCAACATTGAGGTGGTCCCTTCCCGAGACGGCTTGGTGTGTTCCGTACCACAAAGAGCAGTGCTTTCTCGAGGCGACTCGGCTAGTGCCTTGTCCAGTAGTAGTGGGTGTCGTGTGTTAGGGGTGGTTTCTCCTGGTTTCATGTTTGGTGTTAGGTTCGTGGTCCTGCCACTTGCTCGGTGTCGTTTTATTTTTCTTTGACCTGCTTGTCTTAGGGTTTCCTCATCACTTTATTTCGGTTCGGCCGTTTGTGCCTTTATTTATAAAGGGGAACAAAAACCTGTTTGGAGAGAAATCAAACAACATCTCTCATGACTATCTAATACTGTTGTTGGCCACGAGGACAATTTCTCTCGTGATCATGTGCCTAACATACCAGCTTCTATATTGGCTACCTAACAATGTTTTTATATACTCCCTCCATTTCTTTTTAGTCCGCATAGAAGGTTTGATCAAAGTCAAGCTTTGTAGAGTTTGACTAACCTTATATTAAAAAAATATAAACATTCACAATATGAAATCAATATTATCAGATGCACCATGAAACGTATGTTCATACTATATAGTTTTAGTATTGTAGATGTTCATATTTTTTTATATAAATTTGGTCAAACTTTGTGCAGTTTGACTTTGACCAAATCTTATATGCGGAGTAAAAAGAAACAGAGGGAGTATTAGGTCCGGGTTACTTGTGTTTGACTCAAACATCCAACTCTTCCTTAATTACATGTTCAATCGTAGCAAACTTCCTACACATATTCGACATAGTGCCAACACAACGTACCGACCGCTCTAGCTAGGAGATAACCTACTACATCATCATTGAAAAACCACTCTGACTTGTGCGTGGACTAAAAGACTTGTGAAAAGTTATTTCTTCGCCCGTGGCTAAGCAGATATCAATCTGTGGAAGCAACTTCTGCAATTAAATTCTTATTAAAGGCATGTAATGCGTAACTTGAAATGGACCTATCATAGAGTAATACATAAATAAATAGCTACGGAACAACTTGCAAGTTACCTTGACACGGACACTTTCCATCTTAGAGTCTACTGATCTTATCTCTATAGCTAAGCTAGTAAAGTGGACTTAACAACCACTTCAAATAAATAAAAGACAAAAAGCAGACGACGATGCTCGTTTTTGCTTTTCACGACCTGAATATGCAAATCCGACGACTAGATTTACTTAACCCTCATGACTAGGATTTAGAAAAGTGAACAAATTCGACCTACGATGAGCTAGCCTTTGGTACGCAGTGGATTTCCTTTTCTCTAATGACAATGATGACGTGCACAATGAAGTAACCACCGTAACAACAACATGCACAACGTATATGCGATTCCATGGAGGCTTCGCGTCCACCATGCAGATGGGTGTACAAGAGATACGTTCGAGCCTGGTCAAGTGCATGTGGGGCCCACCATTAATTCTTCCTCATTTCACCTACTACCGGTGAGAAGCCATCGTCTATATATACACAGCTACACACACATGGCTTGCACACGCACACACACCTCGCATGTAACTAAGCACGCCTGCATTAACCGAGCAACGACACCTTAAAGTGGAAGAACCAGGGCTAGGAATCGGTAGATAGCTATGGGGTTCGCGGTGACGAGGACGAGCAAGTCGCTGGTGGCGCCGTCGTCGCCGACGCCGGCCGGGGAGACGCTGCGGCTGTCGTGCCTGGACCGCGTGCCGGGGCTGCGCCACCTCGTGCTGTCGCTGCACGCGTTCGACGGCGCCAAGCGGGTCGACGGCGCCGTCGGCGAGGGAGAAGCTGCTGCCAGCCCGGCAAGCGCGGTGCGGGAGGCCCTGGGGAAGGCGCTGGTGGACTACTACCCGTTCGCCGGGCGGTTCCTGGAGCCGGAGGAGGAGGGCGGCGAGGTGAGGGTGGCGTGCACCGGCGAGGGCGCGTGGTTCGTGGAGGCCACGGCGGCGTGCAGCCTGGAGGACGTGAAGCACCTGGACCACCCGATGGTGATCCCCAAGGAGGAGCTGCTGCCGGAGCCGTCGCCCGACGTGCCGGCGCTCGACATGCCGCTCATGATGCAGGTACGCAAGTGTACGTACGTATATGTGCGTGCACGATATTAAAAAGGAGAACGAATAACTAAGCAATACTCAATCGAGTACACACAAATATACGAACGCTAGTTGATTATTAGTTCTGGCTTGCACGGAGGTGGGGAGCCGTACGTTCGTCAAGAACCTCATTTTCTACCGTGGCGAACCTCGATCATTAGCTACCCTCCAACTAGGTTATGCGTGTTCCTCTCACTCGTCTACAAATCCATCCATTAACTACACACATTTGACAGCTACTGGTTTTCAATTATGCTAGCTTTGATTTTAAGAAATCTTAACGACGTGACGTGCAAATACTCTTAATGCTACCCGCAAAAAAAAGGTAAGTACAAACTAGCTGGCTACGTACCCATGGCCCGATCGAAAAGCTGTGGTTTTTATACATAGTCCGGCCGGCCCTATGTCTCCAGAACACAAGTTTGAATATTAGTATTTCTGTTGACCCATACGGAATAGTATTATTAAAAGAATTATTACTCGACGCAAATTGATCCCTTTTTTTTGTGATGACGCAAATCGATCTTCATCAAGCAACAACTTTTTGGGGAGAGAGTGGTAGTACTATAAATTTGAAAAGCCATAGCGTGTAGCAGGTGGCAGCACTGGGACAATTTTGTGCGCGCTGGCTACTTTCTGACATGCAGACAGCGACGAGAGCACGTATAAACCAGTCGTGGTACTATACATGCTTTTTGATGTTGTAGCGATCCGTGGTACCTCCACGCCAATGAACATGGTGCCGGCAGCGACGCATGAAATATAGGAGTAGTACTATATACTATATCAATATATGTATTGTATTGGTGAGAGATGGTCGATATCATCACGACCGGCCACCCGATCTCGAGCATGTTAAAGCTGGATCGACAAAAGCAATGTCGTTCGCCCTCTACATACACATATGTAGGTGATATTCCATGCGGCACGTACCGACGTACTCCCTCCGTTCGGACTTACTTGTCTCGGAAATAGATGTATTTAAAACTAAATACATCTATATACATCCATTTCTGCGACAAGTAACTCCGAACGGAGAGAGTACGAGTACGAGCACAAAACGATGGATCAACGTACCTGCCAAGAGACCGTCTGCTCGATCGTTTCTTAATCGAGAGAGTAGGAAACTTGGTGAACCACTCCACATCAGAGCAGGCCGATCTGGAAAATATATGCGTGGTGCAAGTCGATCGCTGGCTTGGCGGGAAAAAGATGTAACACGTGAGTGAGGCTGCACTCGCACAGTACGGGGAGTAACCTTTTTGGGTGGGCAAGGAGGCATGCAGGAGATGGGAGCCCCATCGATCACGGCAAGCTAGGCATAGTGGAGTAGGGAGATCGCTTCAGCAGAGTGGCAGAGCGTACACTCGATCCAGATCGGGCGAGCACCTACTACCACGCACTACCTTTTACCTTTTGAAATATACTACTATAATGGATGATACGGATCTTTTTTCTGGTGAAATGACAAAAAGGATGCACACGATATATGCAGCTAGTATGCACCACAACTGGCTTGTTAAGATAGGACTGCCCATCCACCGGTCCAAGGAATCATCATAGCTAAAAGCAGTAGTATATTCTCGCTGGGTATAGGTCAGTTGGTGCATGTCCAAAGGCTAGGACACATGCCTGATGCACGGGTGCACGGTACATGCCACATTTGTCACCTGCACGGGTATGCAGATGTCATGCTTGCGTGTTCTTACTACAGTTAGCTGGTGCTGCTATAGTTACACCGGGACATGCACGCAGCCGTGAGGTTGTTCTTTTTTTTTGGAAATGGCAGGATTTTTGCACTCATTAAGAAGAAAAAAGTTGCTCGATTAATTAGGAAAATTCAAAATATCATTTAATATGGAAAGCCGTGAGGTTGTTGTTATCGTTGGTTCAAGCTGGCGACGCCTTCTGGTCAATGGCTAGCTATGCACGCATTTGTGGGTTTTATGCGTTGGTTGCTCTCCATCAACTTTGTTTACTCCCTTGGGCAATATCATATCAGTGCCTACTTTTCTTGAGCATCGTATGTCACCTGTGAGCGAAACATCCGGGTTACCTCTCACGTCTTTTTCTACGTACGTGTTGGGCTAATCGTGCACCATGGTTTGCTAGGTTGACCTTAAAGCCACAAAGTGCAACCATGCCATGTGGAGATAAGACTCCAGCTAGCAGGTGCTTGGGTAGTTTTCTTCAATGAATTGGAAGGAGTGGATTGCCACTATTGACCATGTTAGTGTTACCATCAAAAGTCTTTACTCAATCTATACCCAGCTGGTCCTGCCTGGCTTGACTAAGACTGCCAGTACTGATGGCTGCAAGCTGCTAGTAACTTATAGGTTGTAAATTTTAGGAAGTGGGCCTTGCTTGACTTGGGAGCACTAAGATCTAGCTAGATCATGCATGAAGCTGGTGGTGCGGGAGTAGTTGCGTCGGTGAAAAAGAGCAAGATTTAACCACCCGTTTTGATCAGTCGGCAGTGCACGCGACCACGGTATAGTATCGGGTCACATTCTTGCATGACTCAGCTAGTAGGTTGTAAATGGACAACTATTAAATCGATCAAGTAGCTTTCTTTGACCCCGGGTGGTGTCTTCCCTAGCGCGTACCACCAACCTTGCACACGCCAAAGCCGGCCACTCCCTAGCTGTCACATATTGGTCACGTTAGTGACATAGTATCATCTTAGTTTCGAATTATAAGATGTTTAATTTTTTTAATATAAATTACATGCATATTGAAATAAGTGACCGAACACACTAAAACACGTCTATATACATCAAATTCAAAAAAAAAGTTTGAAGATCCTATAACTCGAAACAGAGGCTTAGCTAACACTAGACATGTGTTAACGGTTTTTCTGGTCCATTTCATTAAGCCGGGAAAATGGTTTAGGTAGCTAGACCGAACTAGTAGCAAAGGTTACATCCGTATTGATTGCTTACGCACAAGAACAGAAACACCCGCAAAAAAACAAGAACAGAAAGAGGTAAGCACCAAAAACACCTCAAAAAAAAAAGAGGTGAGCATCACGTCAAAAAAAGAAGAAGAGGTGAGCACCAGATAAAAAGCACAACACTGGTACGTACAGTTGCGAGCTTGCGACCACTTGAGTTGAGTGAAGTGAAGGTGTCTATGGGCAGGCCAGGCATGCAGGTCCATCACAACAAGTTGCTACCTAGTAGTAGCTAGCTAGCCGGCCTTCTGCTGGATGGAGATTTGAGAGTGGAGGGTCGAGATCGATCGAGCACCTACCACCACCACCTCCATTGATTTCCTTTTCATACGTCACATACATACATACTCTAGTTAATTGGTACTCCCTCCATTTCAAAATATAGTGTGCCCGCGCTTCCTGAGGTTCAACTTTGACCATAAATTTAACCAACGAGACCAACTGCGGCAGAAGAAAAAATTATATAATTAAAAACTTCTTTCGAATACGAATTCACTGATATTATTTTTGTTCCCGCCGCAATCGGTCTTGGTAGTTAAAATTACGGTCAAAGTTGAAGCACGTGGATAAAGAAAGCACTACACTGTGAAATGGAGGGAGTAGCATAGAAGCCCAAATAGGGATTGGCTACCGGTTATGCCTTGCTAGGCAGTACTATATTCCTGTGGCTAGCTAGCTAGGGTGCAGGTGCAACCCTAGGGTACCTCCACACAATGGGTTAGAAACGTGGACGCACGCCCAACCGTAGTACTACGCGTGTAGGGTCAATGATGCATATCTCTAACCTGCTAGCTTGTTGCTTGAGTTGCACCTTGATCTGCACGTAGCTCTAGTCCTCTTGCTGTGTGCACACGTCGTTGTTGCCGATTAGTTAGCTCCAGCTTGCCACCTGGTGTGATCGATGTGCACGCCATAGGACTAGAGCTGTTGGGGGGTGGACTTACTGGCTAGTTTGATTGTGTCCTGGAGGCGGTTTGGTCGAAAGGATGCCGTCGTGCTTGCACCCACCTAGCCAGCATCCGTACTGTTGGCCGCTGTAGATGTATGGTCCAGTGGTGGATCGATCGTTTTCGGGCTATGTAACTGTTGTACCAACTTGTTGCACCAAAAGAGCGAGATGTTGCACCAAGTTTCTTGAGCACGCAAGGTCACCTCTCTCATATAATATTTTATGTGCGTGCTGCGTTAATCATCATGCATGAATTAATGGACCATGATTTGTTTGGCCGGCATTGACCTTACGTTCAGTTACCTACAGAAATTGAAGCACTTTGTACGTTGTCATATGCAGAGAAAATGAAAGAGGAGGCCCGGGGGTGGGGGGTGGGGGGTGTCTAATGGTCAAGGGACGACAATGCGGATCATGGGAATAGGGGAAATTTATCCTTTTTGGTTGGTGTTTTATCAAAAAAAAAAAGTATTCCCGTTTATGTTTTCGTTCTGTGAATTTCCATTTCCATTTTTTCTTTTAAATATTTAGCTGGAACGGATGGTAAGTTTCCAAGCTGGTTTCATCCCTAATTGTCACTAATGACCTTGTTACTTGCTGGCTCTTGGATGAGCAGTGGACGTTAAATTGACTAATTATTTTTCCTATGTCTCGAATTGACTCTGAAAAATGCAACTTTAGCTTTGTGAAAAGTGCAAGAAGGAGTTGTACATTTCCAACAACATTGACTTAGATGTAAGAAAACCACAGACTAGTTAGGTTTAGTGAAACCCAAAATTGTTATTTTGGCTGACATACTCATGAAATTCTATTTATAGTGTCGAGCTTGTTTAAATTAGAATTTAAAAACTATGCGGATTAGTAGAAGAAAATCTCTGCTCAACAGACCATATTGGATTCTCTCTTGCCAAGTTCAAGCACTATTGGATTCTATAATAAGTGGTTGGCGTACGTGTTCATAACAATGCAAAGGTGGATACACTTGCTTCTCCTATTACATAAGTAAATACAGTGCATCCCTAAAAAAAAGAAGTAAATACAATACATATAATTACAGTTGCTTTTTTTAACACAGTTGCAGTTGCATTTAAGTATAGTGAACTCGATTGGGCATAATTTGGGTTCAGTTTATGGTTGTTACATTATGTTGTCACATGCTTATTTTATAATCTGCTGTGAAAATTTAGACATAATAGTAGGGTTAAAAATTTCAACGAAATTTCTGAAATTTTGCATATTTCAGTGGGGTCCGAAATATTTTCAACCCTGAAATTTCGAGGTAGATTCAAACAGATTTCGAATATATTTAAATTATGTCTTAATTCATTAAAATTAAGTGAATTTTCAAAAATTCAAAATTCAAAATAATTTCTGAAATTTCGCATATTTCGGCGAGGTCCGAAATTATTTTGTTTCCAAAATAACAAAAACCTAGCCGAAAGCGAGTCACAGAAATACTAAAATAGAGAAAGACAGGTGGAGCAAACTGGGTTACCGGAATCTACTTCAATGTCAAACGCAACCTTGGCTGAGAGCTATGCCACCGGGAGGGAGCAGGCACAGGTTTTGTTATCTAGAGTAATGCTGCACTTACATAATGCTTTACGGTGGTGGAATCAACGGATTAGTATTGGAGGACGCACAAACCGAAATTCAGGAGATTAGTGATTGGGTCGGTGAAAAGAGGAAGCAGGGATTGAGGAACATCACGGACCCAGCCCCCGCGTCGTCCCCCTGGGGGCGGCTCGGGCGGAACCCTAGCCGCCGCCGCCGCCGACCCCACCAACGCCACCTCCCCTCGCCGCTGCTGGCAGACGTCGCCGGGCAAAGCCCGCCGACGGCCGGCGGCGGCGGGATTCGCTCCCTTGCGTGCGCATCGGCTCTCCTCTCCCGCATCCTCCCCTGCTTCAACGACGACCCCTGACCCTTCTCCCTGGAGCCCCCCCGCTGCGCAGTGCCTCCCCTTGTCAACGTCGTGGCTGGCTCCCCGGATCCCCTCTGTCGTGGTCTAGTTGGGGCACCTCCTTGCATCGGCCTCCTCTGGCCTGCGGGGAAAGCGGCGGCTCCACTCAGATCCAGGGGCTCGCGCGGTACGGCTCCCCCTCGCTCGTTCGGCGGTGACTGGGCAGCCCTCGTCCGGCAGTTGCAGCAGCAGGTGGCTGCTGCTCCCTGATGGCCTGGGTCGTCGTCGCCTCCTCGTGGTGAGGCGGGCTGCTCGTTGCTGCCGTTCTCCCCGGCTGCGGGCTGCCTCTCCTTCGTCGGATCTGATGTCTCCTGCTGGCCGTGCCAGCTTGTTTCCTCGGCACCCCCATGGCCCGGCTCTTGCCTAGATGTTGGGCTTCGGCGGTGGGTGGCCAATCTCCTCGGGATGCAGTGTGGAGGATGCAAATGCCGGGTAAAAGCTCAATCGACGGCGACACCTACGGGTGCCGTTTCCTTCCTGGAGGCGTCGAGTTGGCACTGCCGTCCTCTCCCCCTTGCTCTTTGATCCAGAGAGAAATCCCGGACCCGGGTTCCCCGTGTCCGGCGGTGTCGACGTCTCCACGTCAATTCCTCGTTGGGGGCATCGTCTTGGATTGTTCTGCTCTGGGCGGATCCGCCCCTTGCTGCTCCATCTTCACCTCGGTTAGGATCCTAACAAGCCTTTGTCCTAGGACACTCTGTTGGCGCTTGCCTGGACGTCCTGGGGTGGCCTAGACGACTTGCTACCCTTCGACCTCGGCGGCAGTACATCGGTACTGTGCCCTTCGGTCTCGGTGGCGCGTTGTCTTTCGGCTTCGCCGGCGGCACACCGGTGCCGCCGCACCAACTCGGCTATCCGACGCCCTTCGTTCGTGCCATTGACGCTTCTTGGCATGCTCCTACTTCGATTATCCTTATGGACAGGGCTATGCATCATGGTGGCCCAGACGACGCTTGCGTGGATATCCTGGCGTGGCCTTGGCGGCAAGCTGCCCTTCGACCTCGGCGACGATACACCGGTGTCGTGCCCTTCGGTCTCGGTGGAGCGCCGTCTCGCGGCTTCGACGGTGGCACACCGGTGTCACCGCACGAACTCGGCTATGCGACGCCCTTCGTTCGTGCCAATGATGTTCCTCTGTGAGCTGCCGTTTTTGGTGCCTTTTTTCTCCCTAGGGCTTCTTGTGGTTCTTTGTTGATGGTGGAACGAGCTGCTCGGCGGAGCTTGCTCCTGAGGTGTTGGTTACCAGGGTTTTCGGTTTGGTCTCTGTGCCAACCTTCCCCTCTGTTTACTTCGTTCTTTCTCTAGTTTTTGGCTCTCCTCCTGGGCGCCGTCCTCTGTAATTTTCCTTTGCACTTTGTGTGCGCCTTCATGTATTTGTACTGACTGCCAAGTCACTCTTCGAGTTGGAATATAACAAGCGGTGGGGTTTGACCCCCCCGTCAATCTCGAAAAAAAAAAAAGAGGAAGCAGGATTCATTAAGTGAGTTATAGGTCAGATGAGTCAATCGGTAAGTAGCTCTCATTGACAAGTGACTTGTAACACGACCACGACAGATCTTATCTGTTCCTACTGTCCTGCTACCAACTTTCCGCTTCTTTGACAGCACCGTGCTACCAACCATGGACATACCACCGGTAAATTTTTCATTTTTTTGTTGAGTTAAACCGAAAGGAGATTCTTGCATGCCCACATGTTTTTCCTTTTACCATTCGCTAGATAACATCCATAACATGGAGGCCCAGTCGAATGGTACATTTAGTTGTGGGCGATGAGTGGATATTTATCTTTTCTATTCTAAATTATTGACCATTTCTTTCGTAAAAATCTCTCTAGTATTTAAAAAGAACATAAGACTCCTATTTCACTTTTTTTTTCATCATCCCTTTGTTCAACCTTCTATGTATATGATAATCAATTACCTTAATTTACTTATCTTCTGAATCAATTGCACTTTAATTTACTTACCAAACTCATAATCAAAATACAAGGTAATTCACAATTAAAATTTGATGAACATTTATTTACACAATTACTTCCTCCATTCTAAATTAGATGACTCAACTTTGTACTAACTTAGTACAAAGTGAAGGAGTATATTCTTATTGACAGGTAAATCATAAACTAACATACTAGAATATTTATATCCCTTTGCAACGCACAGGCATTGTTGTAGTAAAATAAAGCAATCAGCAATGATCCTTGAACGCTTGGTAAAAAAAAAATCCCCAAACATTAAGTTTCGACTGATGATTGTTCGACGTGCAGGTGACGGAGTTCACGTGCGGCGGGTTCGTGGTGGGCCTGATCTCGGTGCACACGATCGCCGACGGCCTCGGCGCCGGGCAGTTCATCAACGCGGTGGGGGACTACGCGCGCGGCCTGCCCAAGCCCCGCGTGTCCCCGGTCTGGGCGCGGGACCTCATCCCGGACCCTCCCCGGATGCCGGCCCCGCCGCCGAAGCTGGAGCTCCTCGACCTCCGCGAGTCCACCGTCGACCTCACCCCGGACCACATCGCCAAGGCCAAGTCCGACTTCTTCGTGTCCATGGGGCAGCGCTGCTCCGCCTTTGACGTCTGCGTCGCCAAGACGTGGCAGTCCCGCACCCGCGCCCTCCGCCTCGCCGGGCGCCTCGCCGACGACCACCCCGTCCACGTCTGCTTCTTCGCCAACACGCGCCACCTCATGCTCGCCGGCGCCGCCGAGGGGTTCTACGGAAACTGCTTCTACCCGGTGACGGTGACGTGCAGCAGCGCGGAGGTGGCGGCGGGGGAGGTGGTGGACCTGGTGCGCACGGTGCGGGACGCCAAGGCGAGGCTCGCCGGCGACGTGGCGCGCTGGGCGGTGGGAGGGTTCGCGCAGGACCCCTACGAGCTGAGGTTCACGTACGACTCGCTCTTCGTCTCCGACTGGACGCGGCTCGGGTTCCTGGAGGCGGACTACGGGTGGGGCGCGCCCACGCACGTCGTGCCCTTCTCGTACCACCCGTTCATGGCCGTCGCCGTCATCGGCACGCCGCCGGCGCCCAAGATCGGCGCGCGGGTCATGACCATGTGCGTCGAGGAGGCGCACCTACCAGAGTTCCGTGACCAGATGAACGCCTTCGCCGCCGGCAAGTAATTGATCATCGCCGATCAACACCCAAGACCCAAGCAAGTATGCAATGCAAGCTGTTAATTTCTATTTTTAATCCAGTAGATCTTTATACTTGTCGAAACGGCCGTCACGGTTCGTGTGCGTGTGTAATTTGGTTTGCTTTGAATTTCCCTAAACAATCTGGTGCAATTAGCGTTGTGCTTGTACGGATTTGTCCAAGGCTGTCATGTACCGTGAGATGGTCCATGTACCGGGAAGAATATCTCTAGGTGCAATCGATGAATGATGAAAACAATAAATAACCATCATTTGTACTCCAATATATGTCTACAATATATATGTCCCTCAGCGGCTCAGCCTGTGTCATATGGGAAAATGGTTCTTGTGGCATATGAAAGTGTACACTCAATGAAGAGAAGGAAGAAAGGAAAGAACTATTCATGTGCGGTGAAACTTGATATGATGAAAGCCTACGACAGAGTAGAATGCCATTTTCTAGAAGCTATTATGATTAAGTTGGGCTTTAGCATCAGATTTGTGAGACTGGTCATGAAATGTGTATCCTCGGTGAGATTCTCAATGAGAGTTAATGGGGAACTTTTGCCCTACTTTACACCGTCGAAGGGACTCGGGCAGGGGGACCCAGTATCACCTTATCTTTTTTCTTTTATGTCCTCAAGGGTTCTCCTCCATGCTGAAATTTTATGGTGGTAACTATACATTGACAGAGGAGTCAAAGTGAGTTACAGATCCCGGGTTAGCCACTTATTATTTGTCGATGATAGTTTGATTTTCATTGGTGCAAGCGATCAAAGTGATGTCCGTTTAAACAAGACACTTCAAGTTTATGGTGATGCATCTGGACAGCGTGTCAATAGAGATAAAAGTGCCATCTTCTTCAGTTCTAATACGCCTCCACATGTGATGCCTGGTTTGAAAAACTCATTGAATATTCATGCAGAGGCTTTTAGTGAGAGATATCTCGGGCTTCCCACGGCAATTGGGCGAATTACAAGTGGGACTTTTGATCATATTGTTGAGTGAGCTTGCAGTAAGATACAAGGCTGGTTAGACAAGTTGTTAGCTTGTGCTGGTCGTGAGGTCCTGCTTAAATTTGTCGTTCGAGCGATGCCGACATATAGTATGGGCACGTGTCTGCTGACAAAAAAAGTGTGCAAAAGCATTACTTCCCCAATGGCTAAATATTTTTGGAATAGTTCTCTTGACAAGATGATGTAGGGTGGAACCCTATACGGCCAATCTTTCATGAAAGGAGCGGATCCCGCAAAGAACACGAAGAACACGAGGGAAAAATGAGAGGAAACACGAGGGGAAACACTAAAACCAACAAGATATGGTCACACATATGCTAGATCCTTGAAACACAAAGAGATACAAGATCCGAATCCAACAAAGGACGATACATAGGGTAACCAGTTCTTCTCCGTGAGCCTCAAGTGCTTGAGCTTCACGGAGTTGTTGTTCTTGGCGTTGTGCCTCGGCATCTTGTGCATCTTGGTGTAGACGCGCTCGCTCTTCCGCTTCATGTTGACATTGTCGTTGCCGTTCTCGTGCTAGCGCAAAAGCCGCTTGGGTTTGACGTTGTCGGTGCTCATATAGAGGATTGAGGCTTACTCGACGATCGTTGCGCGCGGCACGTCGAAGAGTGTTCGATTCGGTGTACTTGAGCCGGAGAGGGTGAAGTCGAAGTGTCGACTTGAGCGGCTCTGTCTTGATGAGGACGAAGTGAAAGAAGAGCAGTTGAGCAACAAAGCACGAATCTCGTCCATTCTTGCGTCGTTCTCTTGCTTGTGATCGTCGAGTTTGTGGTCGAAGTAGTCCCTTGTACGTTGCTCGGAGAGTCGCAAGTCGGCGGCGAGGTTGTCGATGCGTTCACTCATTGCTTGTTGCTCTTGATGCAACGCACGTTGTGCATCAAAGAGGTGGCTCTTGGTGACATAGGAGTTCATGTCATCGCCGTGCTCAATGAAGAGTGGGTTGGTAGAAGTACTTGGCCTATCCATCATTTCAAGAGAAAAATATGAGTGGTAGAAAGAGAAAAACGTATACCAATTGTACCTTGACCAAATTTGAAGGTGAATCAATGATCACACCAATGTGGAACAAGGAAATAACACAATTGGTACCAATTCTTGTCGGTTTCTCACACCTACACAAGTAAAACCTTATGGTGGAGCTTAGTTAGGATGGTGGCACAAAATTTGATGCAATTGTAAGTGAGCTTCAATAATGTTGAAAAAGATTCGCAAGATTGCAATGCAACAAGTAGACCAAGCAATATGCGGTACACGGAAACACACACGCAAAAAGATAAGTGGGGTCGTGCAACCACGGGTGAGCCAAAATGTGGAATCCACAAAAATGCTCTTGTTGCACAACACTAAAGAGACGCTAGCACGATTGCACAATAGGCGGATACAAGACTTGTGCACAACCTACTAGGCAAAAATGCAACGACTTCTATCACAAGTATGCTCTATGTATGGTGTTTCTATGACATGATCCAAGATGATCTAGTATGACAATCTTAATGTTGTATGATGATATGGTTCTTGCTTAAAAGCTCTTTGCTTATCTTTCCCTTTTGCTTAAAAGCTTGTTTGGCTCTTTCTTGTTTGAGCTCTTTTCTCATGCAATGCTTCATGAACCAAGATAGCAATTGTGTATGCAATGACAACCTTGTGACACAAGAGATGATACCAAGATATGCACCAATGATGTATGTATGCTATGGGAAATGTGATCACTAATGTGCACAAGTCTCGTTGCCGGCAATACTCAAAAGCTAGTCTCGATGGGTAAGCAACGCAAAGGAGTAAGGCTATTGTCGGTGTCAAAACCGGCGGATCTCGGGTAGGGGGTCCCGAACTGTGCGTCAAGGCCGGATGGTAACAGGAGACAAGGGACACGATATTTTTACCCAGGTTCGGGCCCTCTCGATGGAGGTAATACCCTACTCCTGCTTGATTAATATTGATGATATGGGTAGTACAAGAGTAGATCTACCACGAGATCAAGGAGGCTAAACCCTAGAAGCTAGCCTATGGTATGATTGTTGTATATGGAGTTGATTCCCTACGGACTACAACCCTCCGGTTTATATAGACACCGGATAGGGTTCGGGTTACATAGAGTCGGTTACAATGGTAGGAGATCTTGAATATCCGCATCGCCAAGCTTGCCTTCCACGCCAAGGAAAGTCCCATCCGGACACGGGACGAAGTCTTCAATCTTGTATCTTCATAGTCCAGGAGTCCGGCTGAAGGTATAGTCCGGCTACCCGAACACCCCCTAATCCAGGACTCCCTCAGTAGCCCCTGAACCAGGCTTCAATGACGACGAGTCCGGCACGCAAATTGTCTTCGACATTGCAAGGCGGGTTCCTCCTCCAAGTCCTTCATAGAAGATTGTAAACACCAAGAGTAGTGTCCGGCTCTGCAAAATAAGCTTCCACATATTGCGATAGAGAGAATAATATTAACACAAATCAAATCTGCTGACGTTTTCCGCAGTGCGTCATCACACTATAGCCAAGTCCTTGACTTGAATCGTTTTCACCTTTCCGCCTCAGCGTGTTTTGCGAGGCGGTTTCCTTGGCACGTCTTGTCAAAGCAGAGATCGTGTGCCCCCCTTTTACGGGATTCTCATCAATACGAACGTGGGGTAACCCAACCGTGCCCGTTAGCGTGTTTTCTCGATTAAAGGTGAGTCCCAAACGGTTACGGGGAGGGCTCCTGGTATTCAACCTCTTATAAAGAGACCAGGGCCTTACTCCTTTTTCTCCAATCCCAAAACAAGTTCGCCCGTCGCCTCGAGTTCCAACACCCTAGGCTCCAGATTTCGAGCGCCTCAGACCTTCGACAATGTCCGGTTCCGACCTTCAAGGCTGATGGATGCCCTCCTCCGTCACGGAGGAGGACGTGCTAAAGTTGAGAGAGGCTAAGTTCTTGACCGCCAAAATTTCGCACAGGTTGCCTGCTCAAAGGCAGGCTATCCCCAGTCCCCAGCCCGGTGAGAGCGTAGTGTTCATGTCTCACTTCCTTCGGGGGTTAGGCTTCCCGATGGACCCCTTTGTGAGGGGACTGCTGTTTTATTACGGGCTGGAATTCCACAACTTAGCTCCGGAGTCCATCCTCCATATTTCCTCGTTTATCGTTGTATGCAAAGCGTTCCTCCATGTTACCCCTCACTTCGGATTATGGCTCAAGACTTTCAAAGTGGAGCCGAAGATGATCAAGGGACGGCACGCAGAGTGCGGAGGCGCTGTTATAAGCAAAAATGTTGATGCTCCATGGCCCGAGGGCTCTTTTCAAGAGGAGCTAGGCTTGTGGCAACGAGAGTGGTTTTATATCACCGCTTCCCGGAGCACCAAGTGGGTGGCGCTTCCTGACTTTCGCTCGGGTCCCCCACCACGGCTAGCGTCATGGGTTAACAGAGGGTTAGATTGGGGTTTGCCCAAAGACGTGCCCCTGTTACAGGGCCGAATTAAGTATCTCTTGGAAGGAGACCTGAGCTTGGTCAAGGTGATGCAGGTCATGCTGATTCGCCGAATATTGCCCGGCAAACGTCGCCCCCTTCACCTGTGGGAGTTTAATCCAGAGGGACCGCGAGCTCTCCAGAACTTTATGGGTGCGACGCCCGCGGAGATGTATAGACTGTTCTTCGGATCACAAGAGATGTGTCCGGATTTAACCGAGGACGCATGCCTAAGCTGCAATCGCCCGGATACTCAAGTAAGCAACCTTGTGCCCGGACCTTCTATCCGTATAATTGTCATAAACTTGCCCCTAAAAGAGTCGTCCTTTTAAACAGGAGTGGATATCGAAGGCAAAGCTGATCAGGTGTCCAGCTCCCCTTCCTGAAACCAGGACGGATCCCATGCTGGTCAGGATGCTGGAGATAATGCCTTTGGAGGGGGAGGACAAGGAAGCTATGGCCTCCTCGAAGGAGGCTGCTCCGAAGGGAGGAACCGACAATTCCTCTCCTAAGGGGAAGAAGAGAGC